AAGCAACATCCCTGACCAACTGGTTGTGAAACCCATTTTCACCAAGAGACCATGGGATCACTAAGAGCCCTAAGGATTTTTCTTGATATGACTATTTCACTGCTCTAAAACAAATGTAAATATAACTATAGATCATAATTAGGAGCTTCCATAGATAACCGATTTGATCAAACAGTCAACAGTGTCATTGCTACACGCCCCTTGAAAATGCACACAAATTTGTGCTTCATTCAATCGTTTTTAGCAACGTCTTACCAGCTTGCACGTATAAAACAGATTTCCCCAGCAGAGCAGCTATATTCTCAATTCGTCAAACACCCCTCATGTCTATTTTTTGGATGCAAACACTTGGCATAAAACAGTTGTGCGCAGTTTAGCTCATACTTCCAGATGACTTGGCTAAGACAGTGTGCAAAGAGGTCATCAAGAAAAACATCTTTTCTAGATGCCTTATTTTATACTTTCAATCTTGTAAATATTGTTCTTCGCTGTATAAAAAAAAAGAAAAACTCTTTTAAATGAATAGATCTGTCTAACAGAATAATTTATGTGTTACTAACTTTGTGGGGTTTCTTCTTTGACTACAGTGAGGACTTCAAGTTACTGAACAAGTTGCTGAAGTGGAAGGGTCTTTCTAATGGCGATGTCAACGAGGTGCTGGACGCTCTTCCCGGCAGTGAATCCAGACCTATTTGCAGGTCCTGTTTCTCCTATCTTACCTGCTGGTGACGGCTTAGTTGGGCAACACGGGATTAAGTGCAACAAAAAAGATCAATGCTGATTGTTACATGTTGACAGCAGGTGGAGTTTGGCTGCAGGAGCATTATAAGCTGTGCAATTTCAAATGGCACAAAAAAGGTTTTGGTGAAAGAGCTTTGTAGTGACATTTAGTAGCAGCTTATTAAAAGAAAAATGTGTGTTTTTTACTCTCACTCTGTATTACAGTAAACAACAGCAAGGGTTGTTTATGTACTTGAATTTGCTTTGTTTACTGAAGTTAGTGAAAGAAATGTTTAGATCACGTTTTAAAAAAATATTTTAATATTTATGACATTTTATTTATGAAGGTACAAACGTACATTTGTACAGAGTGAGGCGATTTAAAAGCCCACCTATTATTCCGTTATCTACACTGAGACTGCTCCTGCCTTGTTAATGAACATGCAAAACCTCATTGTCTGATAACGAAGCACAAGCTCCTGGGATTATTTCTACTGCCTAGCAAGCTGTAATATTACAAATTCCATTAAAAATTCTCAAAAAAGGAGACAAATGCACGCACACACGTCCCGATTAATGACCCGAAGTAGCAGATGAGTCAGATGAGCATGAGCTGCCTGTGTAAGGACACCTGTAAGTCATCACTGCCCCCTGATGGGGATTGACTTCCTTTTGTAGCCAGCCTGAACTGCAATTTTTGCCACTTCAGCTTCGGCCTCATTTTTCTGCTGTTGACAACTACTTACAACACGCACACTTCCTAAACTGCTAATTTTGAACAAGAAAAACAAGGAATAATTAAAAATAGATATGATGAGTGTAAAAGTATAACAAAGGCTGAATGCAACACAGTTGCTACAGTCCAGGCTGTGAAGTAAACTGTAAGAGTGTGAATGTGCAGGTTAATGGAACAGTGAAGGCATAACTGCAGCTGTGTTATTCCCTTAAATGAAAGTGTTGCTTAGATGTAATCTTTGGTTATCTAGAAAAAATCTTTAGCTTTCTTTCAGTTGTAACCTTTGACCCTGGCTTCTCTGACAGACAGGATGGAAAAACAATCTCCCAGGAAATACTGAGTCTGTTGCTAGAAAGCCATGATCCATAGAGTCAGCAGTCAGCAGACTAGCTGATAGGTTCCTGTAGTGTCTCAAATGTGGCTT